TATATTGGGAGAACTGGGCACTGATGATGCCAAGAAACTTTGGTTTCTGTTGCTTATGTTCTTGCGCTTGCCGTTCGCCATCTGGGTAACTCTAGTGGTACCTGCCCTCTCTGTGTAAGATTGGAATCTGTATTTCCAGTTATCTTGCTTATTGCAGAGCTCCTCGGAGTCCAGAGGTCTCTGTGGTCTTATGCCCCTAATCTCCCGGGTGGAAGAACTCCTGGGACTCAGGCCACCTCTTGGATCTGGTAATCCTTCTGTTCTGAGTGCAGTGGCTCCTCGGCTGCTCTGAGTGCAGTGGGTTCTCGATGACTCAGGATTCAGTTTCAGCTGCTCTGAGTGCAGTGGCTCCTAGATGACTCAGGATTCAGTTTCTCCACAGGACAGGAGCAGACCAACTCTGTGTCAGCTGCTCTGAGTGCAGTGGCTCCAGCTGCTCTGAGTGCAGTGGGTCCCTGATGACTCAGAATTCAGTTTCAGCTGCTCTGAGTGTAGTGGCTTCTCGATGACTCAGGATTCAGTTTCTCCACAGGACAGGAGCAGACCTACTCTGTGTCTGCTCCAGTCCCAGGGACCAGGCAGGGGCCGAAGGGAAGTGGAATTCCGGAGGGGCAGGGTTTGGGTAGCTGCTGTGCCCTAGATGTCCCTGGCTCCCAGATGTATTTCTGGGGCTTAGGGAGTGAGATGGAGTTCTTACCAGCTGCTCTGAGTGCTGTGGCTCCTGGATGACTCAGGATTCAGTTTCTCCACAGGACAGGAGCAGACCGACTCTGTGTCTGCTCCAGTCCAAGGGACCAGGCAGGGGCCGAAGGGCCATTGACTTTCTTGAATGCTTCTCATATCCACATTGACTTATTCTTCCTCACAGTCTGTGTGTTTCAAAGATTGCAGTTTTAAGCCATCTATATCACTTATTTGATATTCGTTTATTTATTATTTGTAATACATATTCATAATACACCCTGAGATTCACTGTGATATTCTCATACCAGCCTCTATCTTACATGAATCATATCTAACTCTGCTTTGCCACCTTAACCCCTGGCACCAATCCCAAACTCTAGAAGTCAGTATTGCATTATCAGATTGACTCTTTCTTACTTTTTCACATATGAGACAAAATATTGAACAGATTCTTTGAAGTCATTTCCCTAAACTATATCCCATTCTTTCACTTTTCTGTTTTCTTTTTCATCTTTAGGCTTAATTTTTGACTAGACTAGTTTTTCTGAATATGTTTGAGGCCAACTTTAAGTTCTTAACAACTTCCTTCATGTGTATATTATGCAATTTTGGTGTGTCTTCATCTGCCACAAACGTAGTGATAGTCCAGATGGGCTAGAATGTCCTTTGTTTTCTCTTTAATCACAATTTTGTGTTTAAAATTTTCTATTGTACCACTTTTTTCGCAGATTTATCTTTTATTTCATCATGACTTGTATACTACTGAGGGAAAATACTGGGAGCTGTGTACTCAACTCAGTGACCAAAATTAATTTTTGCCTATTTACTAATTGTACTTTTATCATATACATACATCTATATATACATGTGAGGGAGTAGGTATTCTCCAGGGGTAAGTAAGTAGTAGCACACCCATAAACTTTTTATACTCCTGAGTCAATTTCTAGTCTGTGTCTAGAAGTAGAAGTATCTAGTAGTGGCCATCTGATTCACCATTTAATCTTTAAATGTTTTCTATTTTGCTAGCACTGTGTGTATTTTCCGAGAACTTCTAAATGTTTCTCATCCTGGTGCAGGTTCACAAAGATGGCTGGAAAGACCCCAAAGAGACTGTTGGATCTTGCTATTCAGAGTCTGCTCAGCAAGGAGTCTGCAGCAATCCAAGCTCTGGAGGACATTCCAAGAGAGCTTTTTGTTCCATTGTTCATTGCTGCCTTTGAAGGTGGCCATAAGGATACATTGAGTGCGATGGTGAAAGTTTGGCCCTTTTACTGTCTCCATATTGGGTCATTAAGTGTACAAGAGCCTCAACATGAACTCCTAAAAGCCATGATTGAGAATTTTCCCGTATTTCCTGCACAGACCTTTGCTTCTCGGTAAGACTATATAGTGAAGACATGGTAAGACACAGGAGGTTATACCATAGCCTACTGCTCTCCCAAAAGTGGTATCTAGTGAATGCTGAAGATTTATGTGTGAGGCTGTTGGCCCAACACTTAAATTGAAGACTGATGTCTTCAATGTTTGTTATGAAATCTATTTAATTTGAGTGTACTCTTGATGGGCTTATTTAACAGATGTTATTACATAAAAGAAAGATAGGAACTTGAAGACTGGAGACTGTTTAAAGTGTATAAAAGATGGGAAAAGGGAGGTTGGATTTTCATGGGAAATAATAGTTGGTAGTTAGTATAAGGAATGCCAGCTGTGGATACAAGGATTTGTCATCCTTGTGTCATTCTTATATACCATTATTGATCCTACTGGGTTTCATCATCATTTGCTATTTCTCATATATTCTATCTCCTCTTATCCTTACAGGAGACCTAAATTGAGGATCCTAGATTTAAGGCAAGACACTGACTGTAGGACCACATGCCCTGAAGTCAGAAACAAATCACCTTCCTGTTTTTATTCTTGTGCTTATTCTGACCACTCTATCACAAAAATGGAAAGTCGGCTTTGTTTTGTAAATTCAGAGTATAAGGCTTTCTTACCCAAGCCTGTAGAACTACTAGTGGATCTTTCCCTCGATGGGTCCTTAATGGAAAAGGAATTTTTGATTTTCCTTATGCATAAAATTGAGGAGAGTTTTGGGTCTTTGCATGTGTGCTGTCGAGATTTGCAAATTGATAAATTGTGCAAATGCAAATGCACCCTGAAATTTTTTGATCTCAAATGTGTTGATCACTTGTCAGTTGATAGGGGCTCACTGAGTGATATCACCAGCATCCTGTGTCGGATGGTCCACCTAGAAAGCCTTAGTCTGTCTAATGTCACTTTTAGATCTCTGAATGGGAAGGTCTTTAAAATTTTTCTCAGTCACTTGCAGCGTATGGAACACCTGAAGGAACTCAGCTTATCTTCATTCTGCCTCAAAAATAATCTGGACAGAGTGCTCAGGTAAGAGTTTGGGGTAGGTCCCTGGGTTTCCTATATAGCTTATTGAGACAGGATAGAAAGAATTCTTGGGTATTCCTAAGCTCCGTAAAACCTTTTATGCTTTCCACTTTATCACTTCTGAGAATGTGAAACTGGAGAAAGACATAATTAAAAAAGTAAGCAATGTACAGATATTACGGTAAGTGAAGAAATAAAAAGGTGAAAAAAACCCACTAGCCCTCTAGATAGGAGGAGGAGGAAGAAGAGGAGGAGGAGGAGGAGGAGGAGGAGGAGGAGGAGGAGGAGGAGGAAGAGGGAGAGGAGGGAGAGGGAGAGGAGGGAGAGGAGGAGGAGGAAGAGAAGGAAGAAGAGGAGGAGGAGGAAGAGGAGGAGGAGGAGGAGGAAGAGAGGGAGGGAGAGGAATTGAGATGTAGGAAGACATTTTTGCCTCTACACTGATGTACATAATCTATAGCTGTCCATAGTTCATAATCTCAGATTACTTTGCTAGTCTATAATCTCTAAGGCATAGACCATGAAAATAGAAGTTGTTGTTTAGGGACTGGCCCAAAGGGAATTTTCAGCTGCCTGCTCTTTCTGATTCCTCCCCACTAAAAAGGTGAACTAAAATCTACAGTGGATAATATTGTGGATTAGTTTTTTTCTCCTAATATTTTTTAGAATCATCTGTTATAATATATTCTACTCGTTCTTAAGATGAAAAGAAATTGTATTTTAGTGTTGAAAACTAAACTTTCAACTGGGCCTGCTGTCACATACTTTGAATCTCAGCACTCAGGAGACAAAGGCAGGCAGATTCTTTGAGTTCAAGGCTAGCATGGTCTATAGTTCAAGGACAGCCAGAGCTATAAAATAATATACTGTCTCCAAAAAAAAGTAAGAAGGAAAGAAAGAAAAAGAATAAAAAGGGAAAAAGACAAGAAAACTTTCTCTGAGTCCCAAAACACTTAAGTGAACTAAAGCACACACTGACACATTGATAAATAGTTTATTCTAGATATAAAGGTACAGTTTTCCTCATTCAATATTCATTCTTCAGGAAGTGTTTTTGTTTCTCCCTACAGAATCTTACCACCTGGTTTGGATTTCTTGTATCTGCCATTCTGTGTTCTTTCGTACAGAGACTTCAAATTTATGTCCCAGAGTCCTCAGGTCACCCACCTAAAGCTATTAAATCTTAGTAACAATCCAATGTATTGGGATGACTTTGAACCCCTTCACACTATTTTGGCAAATCTCTCTGGTACTCTTCAGCATCTAGAGATAAATCATTGCCTTATAAGTGATTCTGCAATCTCTGCTCTTATCCCTGCCCTAACGAGATGTACCCGTCTCCGTGTGCTGGGCTTTGCTTCTAACCCCATCACAATGCCTGTCCTTGTGAATGTTGTGCATCATTTAACACCCATGAAGGAGCTAAAATATGTGATTTATCCTATTCCTGTGCATTGCTATGAAAGATGGCATTTTCAGGGCAGTTTAGACAGACAGAAGCTTGCCATTGTACAACTACAACTGAAGGCGATGCTAGAGCTTGCACACAGAGAGGATATGAACTGGCTCACTTACTGTGAGTAAATTCCACAGTCCAACACAGTTTTAACCCGATGTACACCATTTAAGTACTAAATGTTATTTCCTGGACCCATAGACTCCATCTATAAGGTTCTTACATTGTATGGAATTGCACAGGAAGTATAGGTGTGTGACTATCTCCTATCGAGAATAACTTAACAAAAACTCAGGGACTTCAAGAGTTTCTGGGTATTTCTTGTCACTATTGACAGATTATTGACAACAGTAGAGTTTGTATTTAACAAGTCAATCAAGTCCTTCTATGCTATATCCCTGGCCAAACTATTTGGTTTGCTCGTGGGTACATTATACAAACCAAGACAATGACAACCTTTCCTGTCTGTGTTTGTGAAAAAGGGCAGTAGATTTTGAAGACAGTGTTTTCATCCCATGAGTTAGTTTAGGCCGTTTTGGGTTGCTTATGGAAAACTATCAGAATTTAACAGTGGGCCAGGAAAGAAAGACAGCAGAGGCTCTGAGATTTCAATACCCCTCAAGAACATAAATACGGTGACCTACTTCCTTGAAGTAGGCCCATTGTAAAGTTTCCACCACTCACCATGAAGTCTTCAGCTGGGTATCCAGCCTTTCTCCCATAAGTTTAGTGATGTTATTTAGGATCCTTGCCACAATATTTCTCCTACTCCCTCTAGTTCTCTTAACACTGTACATCTCTTTAGCAGTATAAATCATGCCCTCTATATATTTTGCTTCTGGTTTTTCCCAATAGCTGTCCCTCATTTGGTATGATACATAGTAGCTACATGTGAATACCGAGTCCAACTTATTTCATTCTCAAAAATATGACATAATTAACAATTCAGTTTGCATATCCTAGACTTACTTAGACTTACTTAGAAATGATGTATGCCACATCAATAATTAGCAATTTACATAGGACTAAGGAAATGCCTTATTCATCCAGTTGCTTACCACAAAAGCACACCAGTGCTCAGATGCCTAGCATATGTGTAAAAAGCTGCGCACCAAAGTGCACATTTGTAACTCCAGTACTGAAAGGGTGGAGGAACGAAGATGCTTAGTTACATGGCCAGACAGTCTAACAAATTAGTGGAGTCTAGGTTGAATGAGAGATCCTGCCTCATAAAATATATTTAGAAGTTGTTTAAGAAAATACCAGATACGAAAATACCAAATACACCTGCCTCCTACATATACATACACAAGCATATATGATCTTCTCCCACACACGAACATGGAAACAAGAAGATCTTACTTGTATTGTTAAACTGATGAGACAGCAGACTGCATTGCAGAGGCATGGTGAAGATAAAAAATTAGCACTTGTCCCTTTCACATATTGAAATACCAAAATGACTACATTTCAATGACTGAGTAACAAAAAGAACAGAATAGAAGTAACAACTTACACATAATATTTTTCTGTTGAAATAACTTAGTAAAAAGCAATGGCTTATAGCTTTTATTTCTTTACTTTTTTAAGTGAAGTCATACTCAGTTGCAGTCTGGCCACAGATAAAAAACGATACAATTTTGTTTTTAGTAGTAATACTGGCAGACAAATCAAACTATATTTTTACAGGCATAATACAGTAAGAAAACTGTCAAGGTAGGTAACACTTTTTATTAATTTTTTTGGAGGAAATGGATTGTATTTCCAAATTAGTAAGAGAAAAACATGTCAAAATATACTATAATTCACATGTCATATTTCCCTTGTGATACATTTCAAATGTGTTCATATTTTTTGTTGTACTTGTATCATGACATAGTGCACCCAACTTTAAAGATCTATTAAAATGCCAGTGTAATGAGCTTCCCTTACATTGTTTCCAACTTAAAAATTACAGGGCTTTTTGCACTTTGTATTAAATAAAATGTTATTTCAAATTAAGCTTACCTGTTTCTTTGAACTTTCATTTTTGGTTTTTACTTTTTCCCATATGGCTCTTATTATATATTCTCTGAATGAGCTGGGATCTCATGCTCCCAGCAGCGCAATCCTCACTCCTGTGATAACAGGAGCAGCATACTGGGGAAGATGCAACTCTCTGTCAATATTGGCATATTTTTGCCCTTTCCTCCATCCTTCCTTGGTACCATATTTCTGTCAGGGACACTACACCCTGAGGTGAAAAATACACCCCACAATGAAGAGAGAAGTTGGATTCATTGTTGTATTGACAATGTGAATGATATTCTAGGGAATTCCTATTGCAAGAAGATGCTCTTGATATGTTGTTTTCAATAGATTTGAAATATAACCTAAATGACTGTGCTAGGTTGCTTCTACCTAGCTGTTAAAAACCACGTCCAAATGCAACTGAGGGAGGAAAAGGTACATTTGGCTTACAGTCCCAGTCTCAGCCCATTATTGGAAGAAGGCAGGAACTTGAACAGGAGCAGAGGTAGGAAAACTGGAAGAAAGCTGTTTAGTGGGGTTTTGTGGCTTCCTCAGCTACCTGTCTTATACAACCTAGGAACAGTTGCCCAAGAGACAATGCCCACAGTAGTCTGGGCCCTCCTTCACCAATCATTAATCAAGAAAATGTCCCACAGACTTGCTCACAGGCCAATTTGATGGAAGTAGTTCTTCCTCCATCACTCTAATTTGGTGTCAGGTTGACAAAAAACTAAAAGTAGAGTTGACCCCTGTCAATTTGACACACATAACTATTAAACTATAACTTTGGTTTATCACCATATCTCATGTTAATAACACAACATAAAACAGTATGACTTTTAAAATACCACAGTCTTTTAAGTTTTTCAGTACATTAAAAGTCCGAGGTCTCTAAAAACTCAGACCTTCATTGTGGTTTCCTATAAAAATTAAAATGTAAGTTTGTGAAAATTCCATGATTAAACCTATTATTTTGAGTGGTGATTTAAATGTGTGTGTGAGTGTGTGCCATCTATCAAAGCATTGCAATGCTTTGTCACATTTAATATGCAAGAGTATACCATTTATTTAAGATATTTCTTTTTAACTTGTGCATGTGGCACATGTACATGTGTGGAGTTCAGAAGACAGCTTGCAGGAGTTGGTTCTATCTTTCTACCATGTGGCTTTGAAGTCAGGTTCTCAGGTGTGGCCTCGGGTGCTTTTACTTACTGAGCTATCTCTCTTGCTCCTTTTAATAGGTGTTTAGGAAGTTGAAAGTACCTTCATTTCTTTTATATATTTTTATTGAATATTTTCTTTATTTACATTTCAAATGTTACCCCTTTCCTGGTTCTCCCCCCACCAGCAAACCCCCATCCCATTCCTCCTCCTCCTGCTTCTATGAGGGTGTTCCCCCAAACACCCACTCCCACCTCCCTGCCCTAGCATTCCCCTACACTGGGGCATAGAGCCTTCACAGGATATGCAGCTGGAGCCATGGGACCCTCCATATGTACTTTTTGGTTGGTGGTTTATGCCCTGGGAACTCTGGGGGGTCTGATTGGTTGATACTGTTGTTCTTCCTATGGGGTTTCAAACCTCTTCAGCTCCATCAGTCCTTTCTCTAACTCCTCCACTGGGGACCCCATGCTTGGTCCAATGGTTGGCTGTGAGCATCCGCCTCTGACCTTCATTTCTAAGACAGTATAAATTCATCCGGTCCCAAGTTATGTGTGATAGATGAATGTAATCAACTTACATTTTAATTTGTTATGAATCATCAGTAAAGGGTTTTTTTTTATTTTGTCAGCCTTTACTCTCAGAATTAACATTTGAAAGTGCTGGAACCTTCCTACCAGGAGGCTCAAAGTGAAACATTTCAATCTCTGCATTTTTTTAGACCCAACTGAGAGAAAGATTTTGAAAAATGAACTTTTCAAGAGCCATAAAATATACAGCAAGAGGACTGCAGAGACAGGCCAATTGTAAAGATCCCTTGCTGCTTGCTCTTCACAGAGTATCTTAGTTTCTAGCACCTATATAGGGTGGCTCACAAAACCTGTGACTCCAGTGCTAGTTAGTCTGACACCCTGTTCTGGAAGATGTGTGCAATTGTGTACACATGTTCAAATATACACAAACATACATACACATAATTAAACAAAATTTAAAAACTAGCTTGGCAAGAAAATAATATTTTAATATCATATGGAGTATAGATGTTTATTTGTGGAGAGTTTTTATTTTATTCCTACTGAGTCTTTTCCTACTAGAATATCGAATGTACTTTTTTTCACTGTTCAAAGCTTGACTGGTTGACTTTAAGAAGTTTTGAAATTTTCCCTCTGTTTGGCAAATCTTATAGAAAATTACCCCTTTAACTCAGCTCCTATAAGAAAATCCAACAGACAGCTTCATACAGCTTCCACAAAGGAGATGTATTCTATGCTTTGTTTTATTTTTAATTTTTTTGTTTGTGTGTGCTTTTATTTTGGGAGGATGTTGCAAAGGTGGAGGGCATACAAGACACAGGGAGATGAATAAGACTGGGGTGAATGATTTGAAACAAAGAATCAATGAAAAGTTCTGAAAAAAAATAACTCCCAAACTGAAGTCTGAAGTGGCTCAGTTTTCCAAAAAGGCAGAAGATTCCATTTACCCTGAACCAAGGATACAAGGAAGGCCCTCTGACCTTGGCAAGGTAGGTCATCCTAAAATACAAAATCTGCAGGGCTTTCTCCAACTCATTGCTCCATGAAGGTTCTCTCAGCTTAGCTCATGAGAGCTTACACACTACTTTGTAGAAAGAGGTTTTGACTAATTCTGCAATTACCAAGTGTCAAATTAGATCTTGGATTTAAAAGTGCTGTGATTTTTATCTTTGATACCTCCACGTTTCTTGTTTGCTAGCTTTGTTGTTGTTTTGACATTTTATTTAGTATTCATACATGGATATAATGTGTTTGAAATCAATATATCCCCATTCCCTTCCCTCCAGTTCTTTTTAGTGTGTCCCTGAGTCTCCAGTGCTGACTAATATGGAGAGGTTGACCCCAAGACTCTTTTGCTAGGCACTCCAGCAAAAATGGAGAGCTGTAGATTCAGGATGAGACACTGTCTCAAAGTAAGGTGAAGA